CAAATATAACTTTTTATTTTAAATAAGTTTGCTATATTCCAACAACTGAATATAATAGCCTGATGTTTGACATATTCAGGAACATTGCACTTGTACCCAAAGCCTGAGGAAAATAAAACATTTCTTCCAAAGGGTCTGGGGGTTGGGGAATGGCGCTGTCTTGTTGTAAATACAAAATGGCAGAGTTAGAGAAGCCACGAGATTCCCAGCCAACCCTTTACCTTAAGATTAATAAACATATAAGCTATGTCTTTTAAGAGACAAAAAGATGGCTCAGCAAAACCTAGGGTATCTACGTCATCAGAAGAAGTTCGCGGATTTCGCGAAGCTCTTTAACTGAGGAAGTACTATGATTACCTGATCATCCCGCTCTTGACGACTGAAGGGAGCGTCTTCGTGGAGAGACATGTCGTACAAAGACATAAGATTGGAAGCGTACTCCAAAATGAAGAAGTATTCACGTGTCATTCCTGGTTTATCGGACATCTCTACTCGGTAAACTGCTTGTTTGTAAATTCTTTCCCTTATTCCTCCCCTGTTGATTTTACACGGTGTAAGATCTCCGGCCCAAGTAACCCTGGGATCTGCGTCGGCAATATTATCATACACATAACATGTCTTCGGCACCAAGATGTAAAGTTTCTTCTTTGTTATCTTGTAACGAAACTCGGACGATTTTGCAATCTGAGCTTCAAGCCTGGGAAGAACCAACTTCAGGTAGCCGAAGTAGTAATTCCAAGCAAAGCCGTCAGCAACATTCTTGTTATCTCTTTCGTTCAACATTGTTGCTTCCACCGTGTTCGGCTCTCTGAGACCAACGAGGAAAACCAGTTGTGGTACCACAAAACAATTCAGTATGAAAAAGATGGCATAATCCAGGCGGAGAAACGATTCATAGTTTTGCAACATGGCATAACACACAAACAGAGTGGAAGTGGTACCGACAACTAGAATACAAGAACTATATTCAAACGCGAAAGTAGATTTTAAAACTCGCCTCCATTCCCCTCGATATCTCGTCTGCTTGTGTCGAATTTCTTCGGCTAGCATCGATACCCTTCTGATTAGTTCGCCTGCAATTACGCTTAGCATAAGAAGGGCTGTTGCAAAGAACACAAAGCTAATTCCTTCCTTGTCTTCGTTCTCCCATAAGGCAAACACAAGCAGGGCCCCAGATATGGTGGCTATCACTACTGAAGCGAAAGTGACAGCCTTGCCGCGGGGCTTGAAAATCGGTCCAAATCCATTATTTTCCTGTTGATCCATTTATCAACTAACTATGTATCTTTATGCACGTCCCCTTTAAAACGTGTTTTTCTTTTTTGCACCCTTCGATAGGGATCTTAAACTGCTTGCGTGGCAGATGTTTTTTTTAAACTGATTGGGTACACTGTAGGGGAATCCCCTTATGATTTTGATTGGCGGATAGGAGTGGTTTTCTCTGCAAGCCTTCTTAATTATTTTGGAAAATTTAACATATCTTATTGATGCGTAGGACTTACATTGAAAGCAAATTGACAAAGCAGGGTCATTGTAATGAATCGAGAGGATTCAAACTTTACTTTTAAAATCAGCTCGGGGTTATTTACTGTCGAGGAAAAACATAACTCAGTGCGGTATTTGATTACCTCTGCGGCTACATGACGTAAGTCACATTTTAAAATGTCGCCAAGTTTCACATGATTTGTTTATTTGTTGAAGTTTTTTTTTTTTATAAGCCGGTGGCAGTGGGTACATGTTGGAAAATGTCTAGTGAAGTTTAATAAATCCCTTAAGGCAGCTGGTATGTCGGCTAATAATGTCAGAAAACTGAATATTTGGCCGAGAACCGAAGCTTCGAGGGCAACTTTAAATGCTTATTATTTTTTTTAAATATTTTAAAACATCGTGTTTAGGGTGCTTTTAAGAGCCCATAAAAAGTAATTTTTCATCTCTCTTTGGGTTTTCTTTGTTCATTCGAGTTTAATCCAAATTTTGCATAATTTCCACAAAGATGAATATTCACAGAATAAGTTGAACTGAAAACCTGATGACTATTTGTGTTTTCAGACAATGTGCTCACCCACCCTTGGAGGGTCAATTGTAATGGGGCAGGTGGGTATTTGAGAAACTTTGATGGTCATTTATCTTCTAATTCTAACCCTAACCCTTGGCAATCACTGGTGTGGAAATAGGAAGGAATTCCAGACACACTTATTTCTGAGAGAGGGTTAGGGATAAGGATATTTTCACATAATCCAGACAAAAATATAAACAACAATTTATTGACAGAATTAAAATGCAACAACTAGCAACTTAAGCATGCTCATACAGGCTGCAGCTGTGGGTCTTCCATATCATAATGAGCCTATGATTAAGAGGATCTTGGTTGTTCTGAAAGACACACAGCTGAGGACTGAACCTTCAATTTAAGCAGTCATTGAAAATGGCAAAGCAGAAATGACAATCATAACTACTAGATCATAACAAATTATTCACCATGAGTTATTAACGCAACTAGATTTTTGTCTGAAATGACATGAAAAGGATCTATATGCAGTTCATCATCCAAAGTATTAATTAGGCTAAAATCAATTCAAACAGGCTGATGAAAATTTTCAAATAACATAAAAATGATCCAACCCTTCTGGTTACCAAGCTTAGGAAGTTGAGAGTCA